TTTCAGCACAATGTTAAACTTCGACACCTTTACAGCACTTGGATACATTAAAAATAATGACTAAACATAGAGGATGATCTTCAAGTGGTGGTCTCGAAAATAAACCAAAAATTCTCAATTTTGCGCTAAACATTGTGCCCACCAGTCTTATTATATGAGGTTACTGTTAAAATAAACAAATAAATAATGACTATAAAAATGATATGGTTGTTAAACCGATACCTTTATTGTTTTGTCAATATGCTCATGTTTATATAGTATTGGTGTATATGCACTGTAGTGTGCACTGTTTGTATGTTTTTACCTCCGAGGCAGTGGGGGGTAACTGGGATTGATATTTTGGAGGTCACTGGCTGAAAAATGTGTGAACCCTTGAGCTAGTGGAGTTATATCGGTCAAAAATTTGATTTAGTAAATACACATTAAAAATATCTAATAAATAAACAGTATATTTCCCTCAGCAGTCTCTTTTCTCACATATCTGGAGTACCCTAATGCACAGCTTGTTGGTCATTACCGCAAAACAAAGCACTTCAGGGAGATATCAGATCCCCTGTTTTACCCTGGCATTTATTTAGTGATTTAATTGTGGTTTGTTGTTTTTATTGCACACTCAGTGATTCAACGGACTGTACACAAATTTGTCCCATATTTGGATATGTATATTTGGGTACAGTATGGCGTCACTGTGTGTCAGGTTTGGCCCAAGTTAGGCCTTGGATAGAGCTGAGCAGATCACCCTGATCCTGCTGGCCTACTTTAGTCACCCACACACTGGTGTCCCAGACTGCGATGTGCCCTCAGATTGGGGAAATGGGCGGGGGGTGAAGAGGAAATGTTTGTGTCTGTGAGTGCATGTGTGAAAGCAACCGGAATGGAGCAGTCAAGCTGAGATGGCGATGTTTGTAGGACAGAGAGAGTCAAACACACACAGAGTCCTTCCCCCACGGCTATAGCTGAGGCTTTCTTCTCAAAGGTATTGAAGGAGCCTGCGTCTGGTGTCCTAGAGGGAGCATTTCTGGAGTATTCTTTGGTAGACGGAAAGCAGGAGGGTTTGTGCATAGGTGTGGTGCTGTCACCTCATGACCGAGATCATGGCAGCTAGGCTGCCGCATGTTTGACTGATCATGGCATATTAAGAGTGATAATTATGACGACAAGAGGGAACGCATGCATGAGCAGGATGGTTGGAGAGGGCCGGATTAAATCGAGCCTGCTCTGTGCGCTGGTTTTAGTTGCCATGGCAACCTTCATTACCTGGCACATGGGAAAGGGGGAGCAAGAGAAAGAGGGAGAGAAGGAAGATGGAGCGGGACAGGAGATAAAAAAAAGGAATGGAAAGCAGCAAAGAAAGAGAAAAAAGGAAGATGTCTTGGGGAAAAGGGGGATGCTGAAAGGAAAACTGGAGAAAAATGGGAAAAAATGTTAGTTCCTCTGGGAATCAAAGTAGAAATATGCAGTTGAAGAATGACAGACAGAGAGAGAGAGAGAGAGAGAGAGAGATAGAGAGAGAGAGAGAGAAATAAAAGAAGAGGAAGGAGAATGATTGCTACTTCCTTTTTTACACCACACCTCTTGTGGTGTGTCTGTAAAAACAGACACTATAAACTAACTTTGTTTGTACCTGTACAGAATCTGGAAACTATAGACGTTTTGGATATTTGTGACATAAAAAAACAGATTTGTTAAAGTAATAACAAGCTAAATAAAATGTAGTCACATTCCACTTATTAACACTTATTTTAAAGTAAGCTAACAGTAAATAAATGCTCCAACACATTAATCTGAAACAGCTAAATAGAGTTGCTCAGGCAATGGTGTGATTATGAGGCGGGGCCACCTATGTTTGACCAATGACAGACAAGTAGTGTGTTTTGTAAACCTGTTTGGAAACAATAGCTTTTGCAGTTTAAGAACGGTTATAAATTTCACCCCACATTTGGAAGTCACACATTAGCATTTTTAATGATAAATACATATTAAACAGTCTGTCAAGGTAAGGCTTAGAATTGTTTTATTTTTAACGTACTGTAAATATGGGACAGCAACAGTTGAGGGGTTAAAAGAAGTAAAATAAGTTACACGTACCTGAGAAAAAGACATGTCATTCTGAAGTAAAGCGGATAAAGAAGTAATGAGAGAAAAAAGGTGTGAAAGCAACAAAGAACAGGTGACAGCGTGGCCTGTGTGGGACTAGGGGAATGAAAAGGTTGTCGTAGCGATCAGAGTTCCGGCAGGTGTCACATGACCCGCTGCCCTCCACACCTGCCCGAGAGCGCTTCCAGTTGCCATAGCGACAGGGTCAGCTTTATGGAAAGCAGGGTTGAAGGTGGTGATGGTGGGAGGTGGGGCTGGTTGTGTGTGTGTGGTGAAGAAAGCAGTTATTTTTAAAATGCTGCAGAAAAGTGTTCAAAAACCACAGTGTTTCTCTCTCACACAGATCTTAACAGTGGAGACGTTCTGTAAGAAACCCCTTGAGCTGTGGAGGACTTAATATTAGATTCAGATCAATGGACGTCTGAATAATACACTACACAAAGAGACTCTCTTAACCTTACACATAGCCACCATAACCCAAGGGCAGAACTCGTACAGCCCTGTAGCTCAGCACTGTTTAAGGAACTGTGATCAGCATAAATGTGGAGAATGCGACTCAAATAATGTATGAGCCGTAAAGAACTGTGCCCATAAAGATGCCAGTCTGCGGACTGGTGCATGCAGAGTTCAGCTGGTTGCTGTGTCATTGCTGCTGTCAGAGGCCTTTGAGCCTGTCAGAGCGACTCTTACTCTTTCTCCAAACCAGACTGCAGTTTACTGGTCTACAAACACAGACAGAATTGCTTCCTAGCTGTCTGAGCCCAACCTGGACAAGAGAAACCTGTGTAATGGCTTTCATCTGAGGGAAATTATTTGGTTACAACTTTCAAGGACTGTGGCTTTTCTATACTTCTTGTCATTTTACATCAGCTCTAATGTTGCGAGCTGCTTACAAGAGACAAACAATCATAAACTAAACAGTGCTCAGCTCATTAAATATTCATGAGCTTTGTACAGTCACAAACTTCACGTACTGTTAAGTGGCAATGTTTGAGAGAACAAATGCAACAGGAGTGAAAAAGAAAATGATGTGTTATTAGCTTTTGTACATTGCTGTTATTTGTCCAGTCCGTGTTACTGACCTCATGAATATGCAAATAAGAACATTAACCCAAATGTACAGTAGAAAATCTTGAAACATGAATACTGTAAAAACTATTTGCAGTGATTGTGAAAAGTGGGAGAACAGAGCTGGTGAATCTGGTCTATCAGAAGCTTCAAACCAGAATCAAGAATCCCGTACTGGTTCCAGCATGTAAAACATACCTTATATTTTTTTATTATTTAAATGCAACTAAGATGCATTTTTGAATGTGAATTGGTCATTTATAAGAAAGTCTTAAGATCCTCTTACTTGACAAAAGTGTATTCAAAATGTCTCAGCCTGGCCACTTTCATTTTTTGAGTTTGGAACCTGAGTTTGCATAGGAAAATCCAGCACAAAAACCCAAAACCAATTGCAAGCACATAATCATGACACCACACCATTTTATACCATAAAATACTTACTTAAAACATACACTAGCTGACAAATTTTTTATTGTCAATTTCAGTTGTAAAAGCAACAAATAATAACTTGACTTCTAGTTGTTCATTTGGAAAAGTGGCAGAAGGAATATTTTTTCAGATGAACCATCTGTCAAACCTCATCCCAGTCATCACAAATACCGCAGAAGACCTATTGGAACCAGCATGGGCCTAAGATTCTCACAGAAATCAGTCAAGTTTGGTGAAGGAAAATCATGGTTTGGGGTTACATTTAGTATGGGGGCATGCAAGAGATCTGCAGAGTGGATGGCAACATCAAGAGGCTGAGGTATCAAGACATTTGTGTGGCCATTACATTACAAACTACAGGAGAGGGCAAATTCTTTAGCAGGATAGCACTCCTCATGCTTCAGTCTTCACATCAAAGTTGCTGAAAGCAAAGAAGGTCAAGGTGCTTCAGGATTGGCCAACCCAGTCACCAGACATGAACGATAATGAGAATGTCTGAGGTAAGATGAAGGAGGAGGCATTGAAGATGAATCCAGAGAATCTTGATGAACTCTGGGAGTCCTGCAAGAACACTTTCTTTACCGGATGACTTTATTAATAAGTTTTTTGAGTCACTGCTGAGATGTATAGATGCCGTCGTCCAAGCTTATCGGAGTCATACACAATATTTATTGTTTTTCCACTGCACCATGACTTTATATTCTATACTGTACATTATTTCTATTAAGTGACAAGACTTTTTGTCTAAACAAAGCTAGACTGCACTGTCTTAAATAATTGATTAAAAATCAAGGCATGATCATATTTTATTTTTGTAAAATAAGCGTAATTTAGAGGCCTTTGCCTTTCATATAAGCCACTTCTGATACCAAATGATCAACTAGAAGTCAAGTTATTACTTGTTGTTCCTAAAACTTGGATTGGCAATAAAACTTTTGTTATTGACAACGTACAATGATGGAAACAATATTGGGAAAAAACACAACAATTGGAAGATAAATGTAATTTGTATTGTAGCTCACATCACTTTAATGTACCTAGATTGGGTGGGGTTTATGGCCTTTACCTCATCCAATCACCAAGGTATGATTTAAATGGTTTGCCCTCACATTTCAGGATGCCTGAGGTACACTTGGTCCTGAACTAAAGCTGCTTTCACATTCAATTTGAGCACTGAATTACTGCTGCAACAGTTGTAATCATATCATGTCACATTCTGCGGCATCATTTATTTATTTTGATCAAAACATCAGATCTGTATCTGAATTAGGACTACAAGTAGAGGTGGCTCATTTCAGAATCAAAACAATCAGATTCCACATGGATTGGTCTCAATCTAGCCATAGCTTCTCAATGTTGACCTTTCATCTCTTTTTCATGATCACCTTTTCTCTCTGTGTCTGCAGTGTTCAGATGGAGGGACGGCCCAGGACAGTTCTTTGAAGCGGGTTGCTGTGGTGGAGGATTTTTTTGATATCATCTATGCCATGCACGTCGAGATGGGGGCGGATCCCGGTAGAGCACCCAAACACGCCGGGCAGAAAAAGACCTATAAGGCGGTGAGACAACCAAAAACAAGTCCAAACACACAGAAAAGAAACTCAGGCTATAAAAAAATGATGTGCTCTGCTTCATGTGGAGCAATGTGTAAAACTGCTCTCACTCTATTTCTTCTAACGACCACACAGGCAACTCGAAAATAGAACAACTAAATAACTGTAATGAGTGGAGGCTGTTGCTGAGGTAACAGCAGCCATTTTGAAACACCTGTCGCACTGTTGAGCCATTATAGAATGTAAAGGAACAAGGAGTCTTAACGACCACATTCTGAAGATGTACTCTTTGGCTTTTTAATGCAGCAACAGCAAATGCACTTTTACATACTAGTGATGCATTTGCCAGCTTTTTCCGACTCGCGCCCACCCACGTTTGTGAAAAACAAACCGACGCAATCTAAAATCTTTTTAAACCTGAACTCGTCTGACCTACCGATGTAAGTCAACATCACTACCTCTCAAGCTGTCAAACATGACAAGACCCAAGTGACAAGTATTGCATCATGGGACTTATATAAAACTGCCTGGCTTGCCAAGCCCAGAGGAAAATTGTATTGCTCAGAGTTTGCCCTTTCGTGACTCAGTACTTCTGTAGTTCTCAGTAGGCCTGCACCATTAATTGTGATATGGCTTAGTGCGATTATCAAATCTCAATGGCTACACAGCAGCTCAGTTCACAGCAAATGCTACTTAATACAACTCATCTCAGCATGTGCTGGGCATGCACCAGTCATCTTTCTAAACGTGTAATGAGAAGAGTTTACAACTGTCAACGAGAAGCTTTAAGGCCTCCCTGTAGTTTTTCATTGTTCAAAATTTTGAAACTGAAGGTTTTTTAATACTTTCAGGTTCCTCTTTAGTGCAATGTTGCTCTTTGAGCATGAAAACGATCTGCAGTAGGCCTGCACGATATTGGAAAAATCTAGAATTGCAATATTTTTTTTTTGGATATATATTGAGATATAAATACAGTTTCACCAGATGACTTAATGGGCCCTATCATACACCTAGCACAATAAGGCACAAGGCATGTTTGGCGCGATTTGTTGCTGTTTTCAGACCAGCAAAATCCTAATTTTTATGTTTTGCACCACGTTGTTTAAATAATAGATCCATTTGTGCCACTTTGTGGACTTATGGGTGTGCTAGTCTAAAAAGGAGGTGTATTAAGACGCATTTTTGTCGTGTGCTATTTTAAAGAACTGAATTAGACTGCGCAACTGACCAGCTGTTAGTTATGCGTCCATGTGGGTTCAAACTCTTACACACTGCTTGATATACACAGGATGTATACCAACTCACAAATATCTTTATATGTGAAAAAAGAATTAAAGAATTAAACTGTTACAAAAATTATTACTTGGATTGGACATATATTAATATATGTGCAGCTTGAAGGGCATCCGCTGCGCAAAATATATGCTGGATAAGTTGGCGGTATATTCCGCTGTGGCGACCCCAGATTTACAAAGAGACTAAGCTAAAAAGAAAATGAATGAATCACTGAATATTAGTATATGTTATATACACTAATGAAATCGGCCATGTACATAGCAAATGCGCTACAACGTGACACAACTGTCTCTTAAGGGTAATGTGAGATGAGACTCTGATTGGTTTAATGCACATATGCTCAAAACACACCCATAACTCATTAGAGAATAAGCACAACCCTGTTTGACCATGTGAAAAGGCAGTCATTCAGTCAGTGAAATAGTCAGTTGCCTTTGGTGGATTTACGCGAGAACAGCAGGCACGAATGGCACTCGTGAGAGAAATTTAAGATCTGAAAAAGCGAACTTAGTTTCACTCAATGCAGAGTCTTCACAGAGAGAAATCACAATTAGACCCCTCAAAATATATGTAACCCTACAGTTTTCAGTTAATTAGTTTCTTCTTAATTTTCTTGGGTGTAATAAATGTACAGAAGACAAAATGAGAACTGTTGATACCCGACTGTAGCACTAGAAATTGTATAGACAGGGTTCCTTAGATAGTTTGACAAAAGTAAATATAATCTAGTCTATATTGAAATCTAGGGCTTTAAAGCAGACTTGTTGTGACTACCATCATCTCTTAAATATGTACATAATTTCAGGACAATAGTTAGAGAAAAAAAACAACTTAAATTGGTCTCTTTTTAAATATATGACTATAATATATATTGCATAGTATTAAATACATCTTTTTTGTAATATTTATTCCCTATTCCCTAATGTTTATTCCCTATTCCTAAGTATAGGAATAGAGTTTTATCCTGAAATCCAGCTGTATTTTAAGTTGATGTCCAAACTGCAGAATGAGTCAACCTGTACATCACCCTCACAAACCTTTTGTCTCCAGTGTACCTCTCAAAATTTTTTGTCATATTCTTGCTTTCTCTGACTGTCAGAGATGTCTGAGAGGTCTTGAAAACTTAAGAGTGTCAGACAGAGTTTTCTATGATATTTAGTGGATGAAAAAAAAAGCAGTGACCAATTTTGCTTCACTTCAAAACAACTCTGTCCAATTTCATTTCTACTGGTGCTCACAATAACGAGTGCTTTCTCAACCACCTTACATTGGTGTAAAGGGAGCTGGCTGTGTGTATGTGTGTGTGTGTGTGTGTGTGACTCACCTCTCCTTTATCTGAGACTCTGGTGAATGAAGTAGGAGGAACAAACATAAATGAATTAGTGACTGAATCTGAGGGTCCAGATAGACTCATTCTGAACTGCCATGCCACACTGCGAGGGGGATTTTATATCACATACCTTTATTCTTGTGCAATGCAATCTCTCCATGTGACCGCATTGAAGTGTTTCGTGTAGTGTGCAATTATACACACACTATTATATTTCGTAGCACATACATTTCAGCAGCATAGGTGTTATCGAGTTATTATGTTGCTTAGTATTTCATAATGAGGGAGGAAGAAAGCCGATACGAGTTACTAAACTAATGCAGCATTTAGCATCTGATCCAATTAAACGAGAACGCACCAACTAGCCTTGTTCTTTCAGAAGTATGGTAGTGGATGTGTAAGTGTGCACTTGATTATTTTCCCTTGTGCTGTGATTCCTTGGTGTGTGAAAGCAGGTGTCGGGTTCCAGCCCCCACTAAGCTCTGTGCTAATCACCTAATTAAAGCAATCAACTGCCTGATAGCCATGTTTTTGACATTTGGCACACATAGAGCCACTCTCAAACCGCTGGACTATGAGACAAGCAAGGAGCAGAACACCCTTAAGTTCTCACCGAATTGCTGTAGCCTTCTGAAATCAGCTGTTATTGGCTTGATTTGCTCTGGCTGAACTGTAATTAGCTATGACTGACTCTGATTGGTGGTGTCCAGAATCCTTACACACTTTACCATCCATGGCTTTGTTCCAAATGCTGCCTCAGTCTTTCAGGTCATGATGAGTCCGTAGTTTTGGCATAATGGTAAAGGTTTGGTGAGGAAAATTGACTTTGAAGCTTTTTTATTTTATATTGTTATTTTTTATTTTATTATATTTTGTTTTGTTTTATTTTTTAAGTTTTATTTTTTATTTATTCTTTAATTATATTGTATTATATTTTATGTTATTTATTAATTTTATTTAATTTTTTATTATTTTTGTGTATTTTTTTATTTTACATTTTTAATTGTTTAATTTAATTTGTTTTATTTATTTTTTATTTATTTTAATTTATTTTTTATTTTATTTAATTTTAATTGAATGATATTATATTTTATTTGTTTTTATTTATTTTATTTTTCCATTTTATTTTATTTTTACTGAAAATGTTTATATTAATTAATCAACAATTACTGCAGATTAATAGATTGAAGTCTATAAAGATAAGTTCAAAAATGGATGTTGATATTTTTTAAGAGTATATTTTATTTTAATTTACTTTATTTTTTATTTAAGTTAATAAATTGAAGACTTTGAAGTTAAGTTCTAAAGATATATGTTAATATTATATATATATATATAAATAATCAATTTTAAAGCATTAATAAAACTATAGAAAAATAAGTTAAATTAAATTGGGAAAATACATAATTGTAATTGCATATACATTTATAATACAAGCTATATTATTATTATTATTTTACTAATACCATTATTAATAACTATATTCATATTAATGTAGCTGTTGAACACCATGTAACTATGTTATAATTACTTTTTTAACTTGTGCATTTTTAGATATGTATCAATTCAAGTTTAGTCATGGTTAGTGTGACTAAAATAAGGTCACCCCTTCTGTCCTGACCCACTACCTCTCATACTGCTGCTGTCTGCACAGTGCCCTCTAGTGGTGGCCTGAGGTAAATGCAACCTTGCTTTATTGAGCCTGAGACCACTAAAGGGGCACCTATAATACCACTCCCTTAGATTTCAGGCATTTCCATTGTAACTTTTTATTATAAAATGAAATTAATTCATGTGGCTATAAAATATTACAATATTACTTGACCACTTAAACAAGTGAGAAAAGAGGGCCATTTATTGTTTCGGGACACACAAAGGGAAAGAAAGCACCCCCGATATTGAAGATGCAGAAGGGTGTTTTTTTGTGTGTGTGTGTTATGTGTGTGTGATTCAGGGGTGGCAGGGGGCTGCACAATGTCCTTGGGGCAACGTTCACCTCGTCTCCTCAGCCCGTGCCCCGGAGAGCCCTGCTGTCAGGTCTCATAGCACGAGCAGCCCACAGAGAGCAGCCCTGCCAGCCGGGGAGGAGGGGGCAGTCTGGGAGCATGGCATTCTGGGAGGTGCGGTTTTCCCCAGTTGGCCTTTTCCCTCTGTGCCGCCTGAAGGGGGGAGGGTGCTGGGCCTGCTATTCCTACTGCTCCATCACCCTCTCTGTGTGAAGGTCGCACTCAGAAAGCCTCCAGGAGAAGAAAGCTAGAGCAGAAGAGAATGGAGGGAGAGGGGATAGAGATGAGAGACACCAGAAAAGACTGGAAAAGAGAGGAAAGCAGGCATTGAGGAGGAGGAAGGAGTTGTAGAGCATTCAGTTGCACGCGCATTGTTATTAGTGTGGAAAACCTACAATGCTTCCTAAATAAGCAGCTGCCTTCTGAAGCAAAGTGGACAGCCTTTATGCTGCAGGCACTGAGTGTCTTAAAATGTATCATCAGTGGGGAGCTTAGAACGCAGGAGAGCTTCACATTGCTGGATAAATTAAAAACAATGTTTAGAGATTAGATAGATAGATAGATAGATAGATAGATAGATAGATAGATAGATAGATAGATAGATAGATAGATAGATAGATAGATAGATAGATAGATAGATGAATAGACAGACAGATAGACAGACGGATATATATACAATAGGTTGACACAGACAGACAGACAGATATACAGTAAATAGAGACACAGACGAATAGACAAAAACGAAAGAAAGAAAGAAAGAAAGAAAGAAAGAAAGAAAGAAAGAAAGAAAGAAAAAAAAAAAGAAAGAAAGAAGTTGCTACCAATATCAAACACACCTGCCTGTAATTATTAAGTGCTGCTTCAGGTCCTTATTAATTGATTGAGATTTTTGATCAGGGTTGGTGCTGAACTCTGCAGGAAGGTAGGCCTCCAGGAACAGGGTTGAGCACCCTTGATTTAGAAGCTTCTGAAGTGAACCTCCACAGTGGACACTTGACTGTCCCATGAGGCCATAAGACAGCATTTGTGAATGACAGTAAAGCAACGCAACTGCTTGTAGGTCATGTCATAAGACAATGACAACATATTCATCGTAAATATAACAGAACAATTGAATTTTGCAATAAAGTTTGTGTGTAGTCAAAATGTACAGTGTTTATTGTGCTTGTGCACATTGTTATTTTTTATTGAGCAAAAAATCTTTGCGAGTTAATCCTCTGAAAAAAAGTGTGTTTTGTTAATCTTCAATCAAAGTCTGATCGTTTGCTTCTGCGTTTGGAGTTGTGGTCCTTCTACGTTAGTTTGAAGACTTAAAACAATATTCTTAACCACGCCCTCTCAACCTTATTTGCTATGAGTGAATGATGTGCATCTCCTCCCCCTACTCAATTTAAGTACATCAACATTCTGAAATAAAGCCACAGTTCTGCATTCAGAACAGAATGTTTTATTGTCAGATCCATTTTTAAAAGGCACTTGTTTCCACCTACTGGTGTAACAATGTGATAGATAGATAGATAGATAGATAGATAGATAGATAGATAGATAGATAGATAGATAGATAGATAGATAGATAGATAGATAGATAGATAGATAGATAGATAGATAGATAGATAGAAAATGCAAAAATTGGATGATAAATGCAAAAAATCACAATCACATACTTGCCTAATATATAGTAGGTGTAACTTTCAAATAAAAGCTGTCTCAGTTATATTGTTGTGCCAGTAGGTGGTGACATATAAAGCATATTGACCACTAGATCAGGGGTGACCAACCCTACCTTTCTGCACATTTCAATTCTAAATAATATTTATTTGAAGGTTAAGGGTGATAAAATCTATGTTGATAGCTATCTTAGACATCAGTGTAATATCATCTTTTATCACAGCATTGAAAATAATATTAAAAATGACATGTTGTGAAATAATGTCCGATGCAACACGATATATAGTCTATTCAGTAAGAAACTTAATAGCAGTTTGCAGCATACAATATTAGGATGCAAAGCATGTTTAAAAAAGTGTTTATTAAAATTTTTGTCCCATACTGAGTTCATTCAATCAATGGCACTAACACCCAAGGCTTAGGAATGTACAGTGTAAAACCTCCATATACAACAACAAATATGACCCGATTTGAATGTTCCAGTGAAATTGTACATGTGAAACATAGCTGGATTGCTGTCATTCAGGAATAAGATCATGTGGGTGTTTGAATCGAGCTCCAGAACAAAGTAAACTATTTTTGTTGGTACTCTCGCTCCCATGTTTCTCCTTTTCTGTTAGTTTAATCTCTTCCAAAATGTTTGCTGACTCTGTTCCACTCTCTCTTTTTGCTTGTCAGATTGCTGAAACCTACGCATTTCTTCCACGTGAGGCGGTGACCCGTTTCTTGATGAGCTGTGGAGAATGCCAGAAAAGGATGCACATCAACCCCAGCACAGCAGAGTTCAAAGGTCAGCCGACTGCCACTGCTCTTTACCCTCTGATTTTGCCATTTTTAACAATTTTAAATCACACATGAGTATGCACGGCTGAGGAAACAGCTTGTTTTGGTTCATTTTATCACTAATTGAAGTTTTGGGAGTGAGTCGCCCTTTAGCGGTAATTAGGAAGACAAGATTTCCAAAATCGTCATTAAAGTCACACTCTCGTACTCAAAATTCTGCGCTTCTACGGGCCACTTGTAATTAATGCACGGATAATCCGACCCACACACTTCCCTCAGTAAACATCAGATTAAGGAAAATGCAGGCAATCCTTCAAGACATGACAAATCAGATGCTCATGTGATGACCTTCAAATATGCCTTTCTGTCTGGATGTTTGCATCCTAATTCGGAGACAGTAGCGCTGTTACAATCGAGGCTTCATTATTAGCGTAGTGTTTTATGACTTGTTAAATCAGCAAACGATTCCTTGAACATGAATCAGAAGGGATTTGTAGAGATTTGGTCATTTTGCCACAGCTGTGATATTGTAGTCTTTATGGTTTTAGTCATCTTTCTGCGCAGACGTGACGTCTGTCTGCCATTAGTCATAGACTGATGTGACTAATTCGCACTGCCACAGATAAGCTCGATTTCTGTAGAACTAAAATAATAATATTAAAAAAAACATGATTCATAAATGTGCAAGTTAACCAACATGCACTGAAGAGTTTGTGTATTTGCATACACCAGTTCACAGCCTAATTTGTATTCATAAAATATGTGTGCGCATTTGTGGAGAGTGGATGTTAAACAAAGTTTGAATGGTGAATGAGCTGATCAGCTGGTGCCTGCAGGGGTTCTGAAGGGTAGTGTGTTTTCTTTGCTCTCTAAAGCACTTTATAGAGTGAAGATTTGCTTTTGAAATGTTCACACTGTATAGCATCTGGGAACCCTGTAGAGTATGAAGATCTGTGTCCAAACAAAAGCTTGTCTGCATTTATTGGGTTTGATTTTAACAAAGACCCGAGGGAGTTTCGGCAGGGTTTGTTAGAGCACTGTCTCAAGAGCGCCTTCTAGAGGATTAAATGGAATCATGCACACTTTTAAGCAGAACAATACTGGCCTTCAAAATCAGTTCTAGCTAGATATACAGTTGAAGTCAGAGTTATTAGCCACCCTGTTTATTCCCCCCACCCCCTACCTAATTTCTGTTTAATGGAGAGAATATTTTTTTTGACAAATTAAAAACATAATAGCTTTAATAACTCATTTCAAATAACTAATTTATTTTATATTTGCCATGATGACAGTAAACAATATTTTACTAGATATTTTTTAAGACACTAGTAATTAGGTTAAAGGGAATTTAAAGGCTTAACTAGGTCATTTAAGTTAACTAGGCAGGTTAGGGTAATTAGGCAAATCATTGTATATTGATGTTTTGTTCTGCAGATAATCATAAAATAATATTGCTTAAAGGGCTAATAATTTTTACCCTAAAATGGTTTTTAAAATAATAAAAAGCTTTTATTGTTGCCGAAAAAAACAAATAAGACTTTCTCCAGAAGAAAAATATTATTTGAAATAATGTGAAAAAATGCTTTGCTCTGTAAAACATCATTTGGGAAATATTTAAAAAAGAAAAAAAATTCAAAGGAAGGGCTAATAATTCTGACTTCATCTATATATAAATTGAGCCTTTTAAAACACAAAACTAATTTTGTATATATCGTTTTAATTAGATTCGGAATCTGTGTTTATAGGATTTTTATTAGTTATTGTTTTTAAAAGGCTATATGTTTATACACAAGATATATAATAGTTTTCTAGTTTTTCTATTTTGAATTTTATTCATTTTTAAATGATTATTATATTATAGGAATTATTATATGCATTGTGTATTTAGCAACTATTTTAAATTTGTTAAACTTTTGTGTTAAAATAAATTTTTCACAGTTAAGGCTTATTACTAAAGTATTAGTAATACGTACTTATTACTTGGGCTACACAGTATATGTGGACATTGTTTTGCCATTTCTGCTGAGAATTTTAAAAAAGATTTGTGGATTTAAGCAGAATTATTTTGGAAGTATTATAACTAAAAACTTTAACTTTTATTTAATGTTTACAATGCAAATCCAGTTAGATCCACTTATTTGGTAAACAAAGCAAGTCTCACATAACATATCTACTTAACGACAGAAAAAAATACTCAATAATGTTACTGAAATTAATAAAAATAACTGAATAAATATCAATTTACACACATTTACAGAATTAAATAAATAGAGTCAATGATGGGCTAAAAATCTGCTGATTTCTGCACAGACAACTTCTGTGTACGCCTACTTATTACAGGATTATTATTTTGTTTTATTATTATATATATATATATATATATATATATATATATATATATATATATATATATATATATATATATATATATATATATATATATATATATATAAAATAAACTTTAGATTTTAAAAATGATCCTATTTCAAAAATTACACCTCACAATAAGTTCTATTTCTCAAGTTCACTGAAAAAAAAGATGCCTGCAAACGTGTTGCAAACTATTTATATGTGTTCAATTTTAACAAACAAATTAAATGTATTAATGTTCAACTTAATTTGTTTGTTTAAATGTAGCACAAATAAATTGTTTACAACTAAATAACCTAAAAGAATTTGGTAAATTCAAGGAATCATCTTTGAATAATTTTTTTCAGTGTTGAGTTAATGCATATGTTAACTATGAGGAATATGTTTTCACAGCATTAATTAATCTGGAAAAAAAAAATCTAAACAATTGTTTTTTGATTATCAATTTAATTGTGCATGTACTAAATTCAAAACTTTTTTTAAACTTTGAAACATTAGAAGTTTTGTTCGTGGTTAAGTCACATAAACTAATGTAGTTGACTCACGTTAACAAGTAAAACCTTATTGTTATCTTAAACCTCAATGTGTGCCTTTTTTTGTTGATTTTCACCCACAGAGAATGACCGGCCCACATCTCTGGTGCCAGACCTCATCGATTACAACATGCCTCTCACTGCCACCTATCTGAAACAGATGAAACTACAATGCATGAACACCAATGAGCAGGTAGGAAACAAGTCCCGGCTGGGTCAGTTGGCATTTCTGTGTGGAGTTTGCATGTTCTCTCCGTGTTCGGGTAGGTTTCCTCCGAGTGTTCCGGTTTCCCCCACAGTACAAACACATGCGCCATAGGTGAATTGAATAAGCTAAATTGGCCGTTGTGTATGGGTGTTTCCCAATACTGGGTTGCAGCTTGAAGGGCATCCGCTGTGTAAAACATATGCTGGATAAGTTGGCGGTTTATTCCGCTGTGGCGACCCCTAATAAATAAAGGGACTAAGCTGAATGAAAATGAATAAATGAATGAATATGTCAACGTTTTCAAATATAGTCAGTGCATATATTGATTGATTTATTGAGTTGACGTGTTGTTTTCAGTATGTTTTTGCTGACTACCACTAAACATGCATTCAAAGTCCTTTAAAGTGCCTTGAAACAGGCAGTTTTCTTCAATGAGTGACGTCAGTTTAATTGAAACATAAAGATGGCAGGATATGGAGTAGCCCATCCCTTTTTAAAATATAGCCAATAAGGTTTTGTTTATCTCTCAGCTAATGTCAGCCAGGGTCTCACCAGTGACTCATAATAGACTCAGTCTATAATAGCAATCCTGAGTCTGTCTAAATCTTTCTCCCCTTTATAATACAGCATTCAGGGAAGAAAATAAATGAGGCTAATATGTTTTGTGCTCTGCACTGACTCACACTAAAAATATTCTAATCAGATTTCTGAGATGCACTTAGATACTTTTTCTAGTTCAGTAGTCAAAAAAAAAAAAAAAACTTTGAATTCTCAATGATGATTAAAAAGTAAAAAAAAAAGAGTTTATTTCTATTTTCTATTAAACAACTCCCACAAAAGCAAATGATCTGCTCTTTGCTGTCTTGTCCAAGAATGTGGTTTGTCTGATTTATATATATATATAATATATATAAATATAAAATGTATATAAATAAAATATATATAAAATATAAATGTGCACAGTAAATTTGGTTAAGAAGCTTGAGTTGGGATGCAGATGTACATTTATTTTCTGTTATAAAACAGTACCTATATCTGTAAGTTTCTGTGAAATTCATAGCAACCTTATCTTTCTACATATCATGATTTGTAGATCATGAACACAGTTTCAGCACCTCACTATCATGGTAAAAAGTATCTTAACTTTGTGGTTTCTAGAATATTTGCTGTGAGAAGCAGTAACAGACATTTAGTGTAAGTTCAAATGCACACCAAAACACTTGATATATTTTAAATAAAATAAAAAAATACTAGAGATACTCCTATTTGAAAATCTATAATCTAAAACTGATTATAAGAAAAATAATGACGTGAAAAAAAGTTTTGCAAATTTAGTTCATAGAATCACATATTACTAATAAAAAAAATTGGGGTGTTTTTGGCACAGTGGGTCGCAAAGTTGCCTCACAGCAAGAAAGTGGCTGGTTCGAGCCTCGGCTGGGTCAGTTGGCATTTCTGTGGTGTTTGCTTGTTTTCCCCATGTTTGCGTGGGTTTCCTCCAAAGACATGCGCTATAGGTGTATTGGGTAAGCTAGATTGTCTGTAGTGAATTTGTGTGAATAAGAGTGTATGGGTGTTTCCCAGTGATGGGTTGCAACTGGAAGGGCACCTGCTGCGTAAAACATATGCTGGATAAGTAGGAGGTGTTTTATTCCACTGTGGCGACTCCAGATTAAGAAGGGACTAGGCCAAAAAGAAAATGAGTGAATGAATGAATGAATAATAAAAAAAAAAAAAGTTTTGATATTCACAAAATTTCAGTGGACATTTACAAAAAATCTTCATAGAATATGATTTTACTTAATATTCAATTGATTTTTGGCATTAAAAAAAAAAAAAAAAAAAAAAAAATATATATATATATATATATATAATCTATAATTTTGACTTTTTTTTTGTGGTTTAGGGTCACTTTTTCTTTACACTTTTAAAATACTTTCAAGTACATTCAAGAGTTCACACTTAGATACTGCTTGACGCTATCAGCAGGTTTGACATGCTGTCCTGGGAGAAAACCCTGATCTTGGAGATAATTGAACCCAGGGTTCCCGCCTGGTCAATTAGCATGTAAGGGGGTCCGAGATCAGGTAGGTCTTGGGAGCTCCCCTTGGTAAAGGAAGAAAAGGAAGAGATAGGGTGAGAGGGGGGATTCTCCCAAATGAAGATAATGCAGTTGGGTAATATCGCTCTAATTATTGAAGTCTTGGATCAATCTGATTGGATTATCGCTCATTATGGGAGACCAACCGCCATCAGTCATATTACGTGCTCCTCTCGAAATTAATTTATAAAACTTAACTTAATAATTTAACAAAATTCTATATAAATATTCTATCATTACAGTCAATGCTACTACAATAAAAGCATGGTAAATGTTGGTGATTTACAGAATGGAACTCTTTCTAACTAGTGTATTGTTGCACAGGTGTTTCCATATCAGGTGTAGAGAATGATTCAGCTCTGCTTAACTAGTTGAAAAAGCACACCTATAGTGATTTACACTGGAGAATTCAATGGTGATCATTTTGCACTGTGCGCTGCTTCCCCCTAAAATCACTCTTCTGCACTATTTCACATGCAGTATTTATGGAAACATTTTTGTACATCCTTGGTTGTGTATGTGTAGTCAACTCTTTATAGTATTTATATAGGCAGATAACTGGATATAACTGTTTTTATGTTTAACTAGTATGTATGACCGTGGTCTATCGAGACATGGCATTACGTGCCACTATCCGTCCACACATGCAGCAGCATGACAATAAAACTTGACTTGATCTGACAGCACTATGTAGTTTCTCGACATCATGACTGGTCAGTGTAGTAAAAACATCTGCTTTAGCTCACACTGCACTCTATTCCTTTTGGCCTGAGCTGATCAATGGTCCATGCAATCATCTGTTTCAAACCAAAAGTGCTATTTTGTTTTGCTTTTGGTGCATTTGGCATTAAATACCTTATTATCATGCACAATGCAATGCTAATGATGTTCAGTTTGGTAGATTGGAGTGGCACCAGTGTGACCTCTAACAAATTTTTGTGTCACAAAGGTTGCAGTAATATCCATTTAGTGCCAATCTGGAGCCCTGGCAGGCAACTTTCAATCACACTTTTATTATTTCTCTGTTTTTTATATTGCCTTTATGTCTTGACATTGTAAGCACATGATTTAAAAAAAATAATTCTATCTTAAAATATTAGTGGAGCATATTTTATATCTTTATTCAACCTCAAAGCATATATCAGCTTTCGCACCTCTGAGACCCAAGTTTGGAAACTCCTGGCCTATATAGTGCACTATGAGTCATTTACCTTATAGAAAATTTAATATCTTCTAATCATTATTACAACTAATTATTATTACTATTGTAAACCACCTGTACATATATTCATATATTGTAACATATACACTTGTAATCATGCGTATGTATCTGCACACTACTGATTATTAATAGCAACCTGCACATATATTCATATATTGTAAATCTGTTAGTAGCTAATCCAACCTGTATATAATGTTGATAGTACATCCATCTGTAAATATCACTATAGTTTTTCTATAACTGCACTTTATAACTTGTACCTGTATCCTGCACTTTCTGCTATTGCACTGCTGGTTAGACCCAAACTGCATTTCTTTGCCTTGTACTTGTACATGTGTAATGACAATAAAGTTGAATCTAATCTAATCTAAAAAAACTAATAAACATGGAGGTGTTCAGAACATGCTGCTGTATATTTTTCATTTGCAAGTGTTTATTCAAGCCCTCTGTATAAATGTTTGACTATGCATGAATAAGGGTCTTTTCTTGTAGGGGGCGGGCTGATAAAAAATACCCAGAGTGCATTTAATTGATCAGAAGATCTGATAAGAATCTGAAGTGCTTCACAATCGTTGATTCATATGGACCCTTTTCACAAGATTATGATGTGTTTATGATGTCATCAGCATCCTAAATCCTTTATTTTTTTAATAAATCCATATAAATGTTCATACGTTTAAAAGATTTTTTTAAACGTATGAACATTTATATGGATTTATTTATGTTTTACATCATCTTTGCATTAAAAAAAAAAATAGAAAAATTACCGCTTGTACGAGGCATTTGAAATGTAGCATCTATGCGCAATAAATTTGACGTTGTTCTCTTTTTTAGGTTGCCATTATCACAATCCAGGCTCATTCTGATTACATACCCCTATATACATTTCTGGAGAGCGCCAAATACATCCCAGGTGCTACATTTTTTTTGTATTGTCCCATTTACTGCGCTCTAAGTTTGCCCAACTACAATGACTTCCACTACTCAGAAGACCAGAAATGTGAAAAGGGTCCATTGGCCGAAGTAAGAAATGCAGGTTTTTGAATGCTTATATCCTCTAAAAGCGACTTTTGTCATTATTTTGGAGAATATCGATAACCTAAAGACTAACATATTGATACTCGTGACCTTTCAGCTTTCGTTTTGATTTCCGGGGGACCTTAAGGCTAGCATGTAGTTTCATGATGCTAAAAATGCCTCAGTATCTGGGCAAAGAAATGAATGTAAAAGTCACTCAGCTCAAAGGAACTGCGACAAGGCCTCATGGTGCAATGTGTGGTTGTCAAGGTAAACTCTTATAGACATGGTTGCCTCAGCAACAGTATATATGTGGATGCCTGGAATAGCAGGAGCTGGATGTGTCTGTGGGTCACTGTGCTGTATAAATGGGGTGATGATAAACACACAACCCCCATCCTTGAAGAAGACAGTTCCTTATAGCTCTCGACTAAAACTCTACATGAATACATGAAGTATGTAAAGCATGTATTTATAGAAGGCGCTTATAAAGGAAAGCTGAAGGTGCACCAGGATACATTATCGCTGGGTCAAACGCATCTGCAGCTCACATAAAAGCTATTAAGGGTTTTCTACAGGATTGCTGTTACTCTTGCTGGCATATCAGAAAAAAGTATGTAGTGTAAATGCCGGTGTAGTTAGAAA